GACCAATAAGGTGTTCATAATTTTCACACACATCTTGGGGTAGAACACTAACAAGTAATTTTATAACAAAAGCTGCATTGCATGTAATATATATTTAATGTGAAGGAATCCCAAGGGGGAATGTAGAGTTTGGCATGTTACTAAAGGGAGACAAAGGCATAGAAGCATACAAGAGGATAATTCCTAAATAACAGCTTCTTAGGGATTTACAAATATATTCCAATGAGATCTTTGGGTGAGTATTTAATGTGTTGGGGGGGACAAATTGCTTAGGGGTATGCCTTGAAATGTACAAAAAAGGAGTATATAGAGTATATAATATGAAGAGTGAAATATAATTAAAATAAAGTTTAGATTAGATTGCATGAAAATCATCACTACATGGGGTTCAAAGGTATGAGAGTGGAAAAGCAAGGGAGTAGTCTTGCTTTTCTCCTTTTCTTTTCTTTTTAATGGTAAAGTGAGGAGACTAAATGAGTTATGCTTGAAAAGGAAGTACAAGAAAGAGGAGAGAGAGAGAGAGAGTTTTCACACAAGAAAGATCCATTTTTTTCTTTTGAAAATTCTCTAAGAATCGAGTACAACCCTATGGAAATTGATCCTATGACCATCCCTTTACAACCTCTCTCTCTCTATATCTCTCAAATGGTATACTCTTGCGGAGTTCTTTATTCTTTTGAGAACGTGCTAGCAAGTTGTCTTAACATGTTAATTTGAAAGAAAAAATGCTTAAAATTCAAAAATGTTGACCATTTTGAAAAAGGTTATCTCTAATTTTTTGGTTGCAAAAGTGGCCAGGTTTGGAATTATTTTGGAAGATAAGGCCAACATTCCCAACAAATTTATAGAATTTTGTTATGTTTAAGATCTGCTAAACATCTCAATTGAGTTGTTTTTTTTTTTTTGAATATAAAAAGAATGAGAAAACACCGCTAGAAGGAGGGCTTGAACCTCCGACCTTGTGGTTAACAGCCACACGCTCTAACCAACTGAGCTATTCCAGCTTCGCTGTTTTAATTGAGATTTATTATCTTTATCAAATTCACCGAAAATTTTCAGTAGAATTCTCCATTGATTTGTTAAAGAATTGAAGCCAACGTTGTTTCCTCGAGAAAATGCCGGTTCATGGCTGTGCTAATTTTGTTCCAAAGAACATTAGATATTTGGAAAATTTTGATCACGCCCACATTGCATATTTGTTGGGTTTGAGAGAAGTTTTGTTGAATTCGCCTAGGCCCAGATCGATATCAGTCCATTCAGGCCCAACATTTGCAAGTCATGAAGCAAAATAATGTATTTTCCCTAGTTTTCTCTGAACCTTTCTCGAGAGAATGGAATGGTGCAGGGATGGCATAAGATATAGGTTCCTCTCTCTCTCTCTCTCTCTCTCTAAGAGAATCATTGAGAAGAACAATTTGAGTTGGAGTTAAATTTAATAAGCTTTCTTAGGATTTGGGGTTAACTTCATTTAAACCATTCTTCCTCAAGTTTGGTCTAGGTCCTAGGAGTTGGAAGTAGACCTGGCAAAAAGTTGATCAACCCGCGAACCCGATCCAACCTAAGCTGAAAAGCAGGGCTAGGGTCTCATATTCAGCTACCCAAATGTGAAAATGACCGACCCAACCCGACCCGAAAAAAAAACTGGGTTGGGTTGGGTCATGGGTCAACCTGTTGACTCGATTGTCAAGTATTGGGGATTATTTATGCATTGTTAGAAGTTTTCATTCTTTAATTTTTTTTTATTTAGTCTTTAATTTTTATTGATTACTCTTTAAATTGTTAAATGTTCAAGTTTTTTATTTTATATTTGGAGTTTTAAGGTTAATTCTTTTAATTTTAATATTTTTTATGTAATTTTTCTTTATTTTTTAAATTTCAATTATTTTTTTGAGATAACCCGAATTGACCCATGGGTCAACCCTAACCCAAACATTTAGAATTAGGGTCTAGCATTTGACAACACAACCCACCCAACCCAATTGCCAGGTCTAGTTGGAAGAGAGCAGTGTATCTTTTTCTTCTCACTTATTTGTTTTAATTCAATTAAATATTAAATGCCTGTTTGGGAGGGCTTTCACATTGCTACTTTTGGCTTTGCGAGGTGGGCCTTACTATGAAAGCCTATAAACCATATTGGGTGAAAAATACATAGCCCAAACTGACTATTGTTCGGTCACTTTACTAATTTACTCTCGTTGATGCTTCTTTAGTGGTTCTTCAAAGCAACTTAGCTAAAGCAACTCAACCAATGCTCGAGTTGAACCCTCCCAGATAGGGCCTAGGATCCCATTTGGGAGGAATTCTAAATTAGCTTCACCAGAAAGTCGATTTCTCCGCTCAATGGCATCGCTTTTTGGCTTTTAGGAGTTTTCACCAAACACAATTTCCTGTCTTTCCACGTGGGGGCTTACCTTGTAATTAAGGGTGTCAATGGACCAGTTTTGGACTGGACGGGGTCCAGTTCAAAATCAATTTGGACAGATTGGATGGACCAAAAAGACAGTGGATTGGACCAATCTGATCCAAAATATTTATTAGATTAGACTGGACCTGGTCCGCCATAATAAATTTATATTGAATTTGGTTGGATTAAGCCAATATCTTGTCCATTGATATAAGATAAGAATATAGGTGTCAATAGACCGGATTTAAGTTGAAACCAATATAAATTAAAATGAATTTGAACAAATTGTATGGTCCGAACACTGAGTTGGACCGGTCCAAAATGATCCAAATTATTCATTGGATTGGATTGGACCTGGTTCATTTATAATAAATTCACATTGGACTGGATCGGATTGGACCAGACCAAATCCAGTCCAATCGATACCCCTATTTGTAATGTGAGAATCCACTAAAGAAAAGCCCTCCCAAGTGCTCACATACGAAACTTTCCATATTGCTGCTTTTGGCTTCATAAGATGAGGCCCACTGAGAAAGAGAAAGCCCAATATAAGCAATATAATGTTTGGTGAAGAAAAACCCAGAGATCCCAAACTGATTCTTTTCCATTTACATGGTCTTCCGTTGATGCTTTGTTTAATGGATTCTTCAAAGTAGCTCAGCTAAGGCTTTGTTACTGAAATTTTTAAGCTCTCGTCAACATGATAAAGTTCCTCTTACCAAGGAATATGTAATTCATCGGTCTCAAAGTTTTAAAACAAGACCAAATCAAACACCAAAGTGTCCAAGCTAAAATTGTTCATTGAAAGTTATATTGTTTTCAAAATAAAACTGGATTTGCCTGGGTGATTATGCCTAATCGTTGGTATGATTGACATTTAGGCTCAGTTTGTTTGCAGCACCAGTTTCATTTGCACTGATGTAAACGCATGGGATTACAAATGGGCCAAGTATAAATTCTGGTTTACTTTTTCTTCATATCAGTTATCATATTTGACTTTGTCTTACTTGTTGGTGAGAAGTAAAATGAAGTGGTCCCCACTTTATATGAAAGAGAATGGAGGGAGGAGTAGAAGTGAGCATTCAGTTTATTCGGTTGGAACCAAATTAAGGCAAATACCAAAATAATAGGATCAAATTTTGGTTTTTAGTTAATTCAATTTTTCAAATCTGAAAATCAAAATTAAAATTTTCGGTTCAGTTTTTTGATTTTAACCGAATAATGCTCACCCTTAAGTAGGAATGTTATTGCTTGGGAGTAAGGTAAGAAGCAAGATGAGGTAAGAGGATGCAAATTTTGCACCAACATTGGAATGCCATTGAGACAAAATTAAGGCTCAGTTTGGAAGGAGTACAAATACAAATTTGTAGAATGCAAAATCTTGTATTTTGTATTATTTTATATGTATTTGCACTGTACATATTTGTATTTGTACTCCTTTAAACCGAGTCTAAAGCTACGTTTGTTGCAGTGCAATTTTATTTGCATTACTACAAATTCATGGGAATGCAAAGGAAAAGAATGCAATAAAGCAATACTTTCTCAGTTTTTGGCAAAATAGACCAGCAGAATAACTCAATAGTAGTCATCATTCTCAACCAAGGTTTTACATGTTCATGGACTAAAGGCTAAGTTTGAGAATGCTTATGTGCATTTGGTGAAAAAGCACTTATTTTAAACAGGGATAATATAGATATTTTCAAAATAATGCGGCAGGCCAAGATAGGCCAGAAAGGAAATAAGCCCTTATTGAATAAGTACTTAAAAATAAGCCCAAAATCCGGGCTTCTCAAATAAGCTTATTCGCAGAATAAGCACTTATTTCATGCTTATTTTTCAAACGAAAAAAAAAAAAATGTCTATTGGTACGGTCTCAGCCCAAAGTAAGTGTTTATTCGATAAACACTTATTTTTAAGCACTCTCAATTCCCAAACTAAGCCTAAGGTTGAACTCCAATGAACTAGCCACTCTCCTGGCCTGAAATGTAGAGTACCTAATCTGGTGTTAAGATGAAATCCAACATATTGTTGTCTTTTATTCTTCAGTTGTTCTGCTTTTTTACCAGGAGAAAAAACCACAATATCATTATACAAGAAAAAATTGGCACTTTGTTATAGTTGTTTGATTGGTTAGTTCAACTGAGAAGCTTCAATATTGCATAGGGACCATGAGAAATTCAAGTGTGTCAACTCTAAAAATAAATATGCGATCCCTGTGCAGAAGATAACAAAATTTGCGCTGCTAAAAGAAAGACCTTCATGCATGTTGCATTTAGATAATTAACAAAGGCGCTGTTTAGTACCGTGGATTATCTTGAAAAACAAAAAAGTTGACAGTTAAACAGTAAATAAACAGTTGGGTATTTGGAAACATTAAAAATGTTATTTCCCCCAACGGACAGCTCTCACACAAACCAAGAAAAGTTTTATTTATAAAGCCTTACCAAATGACATTTTGCAATAAATGCCTATACGTAATGAGCTAAGACCGTTTTTCAAATAAATGGCCACAAAATCAAACACCATGAATTTTTTTTTCTTTTTCTAGTTTTGGTAGACATTTAGGTTAAAATCTTAGCATTCTTTAGTAGCCTGATAAGCATTAAACGAAGATAGATTGATAATCTTTGAATGACTTACAGATATTTGTCAAAAAACTTAAATAGGAGAAAAATAGATGATGCATCAAAGTATAAAAAAAAGTTGCATTTCAGAAGACACTTCAGAAAATGGTGACCTTTCTTCCTAACTGATCCACCCATCTCCACATATTCAATTTTGTATCTCCTACTCGAATGGAAAACGCTTATAAGCATGATATTTGGTCAAGAAAACATTTGAAACAAGAGAACTTAAGTCTTAAACAGCTGCTCCAACTGGTTGACCAGCCTTGAGCCTTGAGGTTCCATATAGAGTTTCTTCGAACCGGATAATCTCATTCTTGGACCCATAGGCAACTTGGGTTCTTTCATCCAGATTGTTGATCACCTTGTCTAAGACAGATTGGGTGCCATCACTACTGTATCCCCCTGCTTTCTCAATCAAGAAACCAAGAGGAGCAACCTCAAACAACAACCTCAATTTGGCCTTGGCAGATGGAGATGACACATTTGTGAAGATACCCTTTTCTTTTACAATGATCTGCAGCAAACAAGCAATCAATCCATTAGTGTTTCACAAGATGCAACAACCCAGAAAGTATTGGGCAGAGTTTCTTGGGCTAGTAGAAAAATGAGTCATAGCTTTAAGATGCAACAACAAGGACTCAATTGAGGAACTATCTGTAATACCTGGTTGACATCCGGCACCATTCCTCCAGTGTACCGCAATGTGTATTTCTCTCCTACATAGTAGTTGATTAGCTGTTAGGAGAAAAGAAATAAGATCAGATAAGTCAAAATAAAAAAAAAAGGCTGCTTGTATATTGGAATAATTTAGCAAAAGAAATGATCTGTGAAGACCTTATCATAGGCAGGGTTATCAGATGTTGCTCTTAAATTTCCAGGAGAGAATATCTTTCCTTCTCCAATTTGTGTAGTATCTTTAACATGTTGCCACTTGCCTAAACAATGTGCCAAGGAGAAATTGTTTGTATAAAACAGTTAGAAAATAAATAAAAGGAATGGTTTTTTTTTCAGTCTTGACCAAAAATCGATTATCCAGTTTCAAGCAAGTGATTCCAACCTTCATCCAGAAGAAGAAATTCATGGGTTCCAGGGATGTCTTTGAGAGCTAGAATATAAGTAGTACGAGGACCATAGATACCCATGGCAGCTGCAACTTGATCTCTTCCTGTTACACCAGTTAACTTATCCCCAGGCCAGACACCAAAGATGGTACCCACTGTGAAATTTGTGTCAACGATGCTGGAGCCATCAAGAGGATCAAAGGCAACACTGAACCCACCTGTTGACATTCCAATAGCCATTATAAGAAGATTGTATATATTCCAAAGATCATCAGTCTTTCTGGGCTAGTTGGAATATATATTTTCAGAACAAATTGCAGACCTTCAACTGGGCCTCCCATGTCTTGCAGCTCAGGAACTTCCTCAGAACAAGCATATTTGCAGAAGTGTGAATAGTTCAAGGCCTAAGCATCAAAACCAGAGAACTTAAGCTCAGTCATAGATGATATTTCCAATGAACAACCTTCTTCTAATTAAGAGGTGAACAATTGAGAACACTACAACCAGAAACACTAAATTTTGGATCTAGATAGTTTGGCATGTCCAACCTCGAACAGAAGATTGTTGGCAAGCAAGTCAACCGCAAGCTGTTCATCTCCAAAAGAATTCACACAGGCTGTCCCTCCACAAGAGGCCGTCCTCACTTTGAAGGCGATGGTCCTCAGTGCTTCCCCCATGCACACCATTAACCTGATCAATCCCTTATCTGGTGTTGCTTTTGTTAGGAACTCCTCCTGCAATTCACACCATCTTATAATCAAAATCACTCTTCTTTAACTTTCTTTCTGTTTTCCACTAATTATTTGCAGCAAAATAATTCATATAGAGGCTTGAACCTGATCCTCTGCATGCTCACAGCAAAAAAAAAGGGAAAAAAAAAATCTATGAATTCATTCAGCAATTACCAGGCTATCACCGATCTCACATCTAGTGATGAGTGAAGAAGAGCTCTTTGTCTTGGAAACCTTGAGCGATGATTTCGACACCGTGCGCAATGATTCGCCAAACAGGGAGCTTGATTTCAGGCTCTATAGTTTGAGAAGTGCAAACGATTAAATAAACCAACAAAAGAAAATGCAGCCAAAAGAGTTCGAACATGGTATGAAAGTAATCTGAACTCTTACTCGTAAGTTGAAGGATCGAGAAATGGAAGGTAGAGATGGCAGCACAGTTGAGCGTTGAGAGGAGACGTTGGACAGAAACGTCCCTCGCGTGTAGCATGTGATGCTGGTCTCCATGGTTGCACGGTTTGATCAAACTCTGCAAGAACTTTGCTTTCTTCAGAGGCTATTTCTCACTTCCCAACAGAAGAATGGGGCGTAGGATAGGCAAGATAAGCCGTGAATTGGGCTTCTGCCACGTGGCATGCTGAATAGATAGAGAGGAAGCGGGTAAGGCTATTTTCCATCGTTCAAATATATGTGGCTCTTGCCTCTTTGAGTCTTGACCCTTTTCCCAGATGTGGAGTGGGCCCCCACTGTTTCATCTATCTAGTTTTTTGCTTAACGACTTAACGGCGTGCGTTAGAGCCCGTGTGGGACTGACTGGGAGGCGTTGATTAGAGTTCACATTGACGCCGCACATGCACATCTCAGCGTGCATTGGGAACATCTCTCCTACTTCCTGTGGACTCTGGATCTTGGGAGATATTCTCAATCCACGGTTGGTATGTGCTGTGGGGCACACTTTGTGGGACACCCAAGCAAATTGTGTTGATTGAGCTGCATTGATTGAGCCATTTTGAAAAACTATATGAGATAGTTTCACCGGAAATTTAATTCTGCGTCTCTTTTAAGCCTGTTTCCGACTTTTAAATCTTTTACCAAACGGGCACTTAAGTTCGGGTTTTGTGTTTACCCATTGACATAAAAATTCATTTGAAGACCAGGCCTTCCCCATGGGCATAAGTGGCAAAGATGGTTAAACAGAATCTTCTACTTCTTCTTCTAAATTTCCCTAAATATAAATCTAGATTCCATCTTTTGCTACACATTATAGTAGATGAAAAAACAATGATTTAGAATATTAATTTTCCAAAAGAAAATTTTACTTAAACCTTCCTAATGAATCAATTTTTCATGCTAAGTACATCATCATTCGGTCTGCTTCCAAGTGGTCGATGACTCAGAGGCCGAAGTGGAGAATTTTGTTGGGTGAGGACCTGGATGCCGAGTTAGGAGTGGACTAGGTGTCGAGCTGACCAAGCCAAGCTAGGGGCAGGTTAGGTGCCGAGCTGACTGGAGGGCCGAGCTGCACATTAGGTGCCGAGCTGACCAGAGGGCCAAGCTGCATATTAGGTGCCGAGCTGACCAGAGGGTCGAGCTGCATATTAGGTGCCGAGCTGACCAAAGGGTCGAGCTGGATTGATTGTTGAGCTTTGTAGTTCTTTAGAGACCTACAAGGAATCAATGTCAGAGGACCCGGGGTGGCTAACCCGACGAGGTCGCTCCGATGCTTAAGTCAGTACTCTCATAGTAGACTGCGAGCTAAAAATCATAAAGTATGAGAGCTAGAATATGCTTACTTGCTCCCCCTAAGCCATTGAGGTTGGTGTCTTTATATAGGCATTGTTTGGTGTGGACTTCACGCACCGCATCTGAGATTTCCGAGAGGTCGTCTAAGTGGTCCGAGATTCCCAGAGGCAACCGCAATGCACGTTGACCACCCTCCGAAACGTTCGGTACGTGGGCCAACTTCCAAGGATCGTGTGAGTATTGAGATATGCATGTCGAATTTGTCGACGAGCACGTCTCGCAGGTCGCCACCTGGACCTCAGTCAGGCCAGCACGCCCTCGAGGGAGGTCGCTCCTTGCGTCGATGTCACTTCAACCAGTGACAAGGTACTGCAAGTCGGGCTTGGACGAAGTGCTTCTTGCCGATCTGAATTGTGGTCGAGGCCACCAAGTCGGCGACAGTGCCAGGTCGCCAGTTTGGCACCAGGTCGACGCCTGTGCCAGGTCGCCATCATCTTGGCTAAGGTAAATTGTTGCCTAAGTGGTTTCAAGTGTCACCCAGTTATTCTGGAATGCCACGTGTCACAATGTTATTGGAGGGCCAAATCCGCCCTCATCACTCCCTTCGTTATGAATGTATATGGTAAACACCGTTGTTCTCTCTTCATCCCAATAAAGTTTTTCATGGGTAAATATGGGATTTTCAAAACTTTAAAGCATTTCATTGGTCTTTTTTTTGTCAACACAATTAATGAAAAGGGTGTATTTGCATATTATTTGAAACATGAAATGAGGTCTTTATAAACGTCATAATACTAGGGAGGTTTAAGTATTTGTCAAAAACACAAGTGAGGTTTAAGTAATTTCCTCTTTTTCAAAAATAAAAAATAAATAGAGATTACAAGGTATGTGCCTTCAAAGGGTTAACGAGAAAGAAACTAGATCCAATTCAAAGAGTTATTGGAGTCAACTCAAAACAATCCAAGTGAACAAACCTAGGAGTTAAATTTGGGTTGCTTGGTCTCCCCGTAAACACCATTTTATCAAAATAAATTTTGGTGCATCAACAAAGGATAATGGAAATACTTAAATTGGTTGTATTGCTAAAAGCCTAAAATTGTGGAGGGCAAGATTGCTCAAGAAATTGCTCATGCCATAGGAAAAGCATCTATCAATGTAACACAAGCGTTGGCACTTAGAGACAAGGTTTAAAGTATCGACATGTTTCAGCCCTACAGTGGGTGTATCATACAGGCCGATACGTATCGTTTCAAGACTTCTTTGATATGTCTCTATAGTGGGTGTATCGGGATTCTGACCGATTCAGGGGATGGATGAGCCTTAATTAAACCAGCCCCCTGAACCAGTTTCGAAAAAAATAAAAAATAAAAACTATGAAAAACAGTATCGATATCACCCGATACACTCTGGCATATCGGGCGTATTGATATTTTGAACCTTGCCTAGAGAAGCTCATGTTATGGTTAGAGAGTGGAGAGATTGTAACATCCTTATTGAAGGATATTCCAAATTGATAGTTAAAAGCTTATAATAGGAAGTGTGAGATCCCTCGGAGTACCATTACGTTGATCAAAGACTACCACAAGATTACAAAAGAAGACAAATTGAAGATAAGTTATAAGCACATTTGCAAAGAGATAAGTCAAGCAACGGATTGGATTGCAAATTTATGACACCTTGGTACCTTTATGGATTTATCTTAGTTTCTTGCATGTAGAGATTTAAATCTTATTTTTTCTTTTGATTTTGGGGGAATGGCTACCCCATCTTGTGTAGCTCCTTTCTTCTTTACCCAAAACAAAGAAGGGTTAATTAATGTTATGATATTTTCTTAGGTAAAGTAAAACCTAAAATAAGTGCAGCCCAAATTTCTAGTTTTTTAAGTGCTTGTACAATAAGCATTTATTCAATTTTTTTCTTTCAAAATTATCCCTAGTTGAATTTTAAAATACCACTTATAAAATTATCCCTAGTTGAATTTTATAAAAAATACTTTTATGAAAGCACTTTTAGAAAAGTACTTTTATGAGAGCACTTTTAGAAGAGTACTTTTGTGAAAGTATTTTTACAAAAGTGCTTTTATGAAAATGCTTTTGTAAAAACACTTTTATGAAAACACTTTTACGAAAGTGTTTTTATAAAAATGCTTTCATAAGTACTTTTATAAAAGTGCTTTTATAAAAATGCTTTCAAAGGATATATTTTAAAATTTTGAAAGAAAATGAATGGAAAAATAGTCACAAATGCTTATTGAAGTGCTTATTAAAAAAAAAAGATTACCAAACACCCAATATAAAATAAGTGCTTATTTTAAAAAATAAGTATTTAAAAAAGTTGGATGCCAAATAAAAATAAGTACTTATTTTTAAACACTTATTTTTCACTTAAGCACTCCCAAACATGACCTTAATTAGATACAAATCCTCATATTATTATTATTCCTAATAATATGATCTATGCATGCATTCATAACATCCCAAAATCTAACAACATGACACTTGATATTTTTTTCAGATGGTCTGGACTCTGGAGGGTCATAGCGATGAACGGTCTAGAAAAGTCAATACAGTGATAAAGAGACCCACACAGAAAGAAAACCTAATATCTGAAGAATTGTTAGTTCATCGGTGATATATTTGCTCACACAGTCACACGCGTCCAACTAAGGAAGCTGTCTAAAAAACTAAAATCTTGGAGAGTAAGAAACAAAAGCCTACGAGGGTAAACCACGAAAATCGTCCAAAATGGAGAAGGCGAGGGAGTACTTGGGGTTAATGACGAAGGAGTCGGAGACCGCATCGCGACTAGCCGTTCGTCCTCATCACTCAGCCGGAGACGGTCCCTACGAAAACTTCATCCTCAGGGGCATCCGCGTCGATCGGGTCGAACCTGGCTTCGTCTCTTGCACTTTCAAGGTCCCGCCTCGCTTAACTGTAAGAACGCCAAATCTCTCGGCTTCTCAACAAACACCTACAATATCTAAACTTCTTTTTCCAGCCTTTCTCCCTTGTTGGTATACAGTCGACCTTTCTCCCTAGTTCCAGACTGATCAAATCTTAAACTTTGTCTAGTGTTCAGTATTCATCTGTGTATCCAAGATCTGATCCGACACTTGAATTAGTGTTTCTCTTCTCGAACATGGAAAAGAGGAAATAACTAAAGTCCGTTGGCAGAATCTGGTTTATTTAGGTCTCAATCCAAGGCCAATTTCAATATTCCTTTGGACTTTGGAATTCTATTCATGACTGCACGCAGAAAATGTTCAGGAAAGAAGGACCACTGAGATAAACAATCTGAAGGATGTGACCTCGTATCCCAAGTCCATGAAAAGAAAGAGAAGACAATCCATGCCTAATTGACCAATTCTATCCCTTTTACTAAAATTTGCACGAAGTAACTAGATCACGTAATTCACTAACGTACCTACTTCACTGGGAACTATGTCCTGTTTGTTCAACAAAATTCACCAGAAGCAGTTCAACTTTGCAATGCATTTGACTATTGAATCCTTCACAGGATGCAAGTGGAAACTTGTCCGCAGGTGCCATTGCGAGCTTGGTTGATGATGTCGGAGAAGCTTCTGTCCATGATGAAGATCTCCCATTAAAAGTCTCTGTGGACATGTCAATTTCAATCCTATCAACTGCCAAGGCCAATGTAAGGCTGTCTGCTCTACGTTGAAATTGAAATTCTCTTTTATCAGTTGACATTAATTATATACAGTTATTCCCATGGATACATGATCTGCTGTATCTATTACCGGAGTGCTTATTTTGGATTTATAATGCTTACAAATTCATTAATCAACCAAGATTGGACAACTTATAGTAAGAACAATGATCATGAATTATCTATGTTTTTCATCAACTTTATAATGCTTCCCTCTATAACATTATTTATTCTAATGTTATATCGTCAGCAGTAATATATAATAAAGTTTCTATTAATCCTCATCTGTTATTGGTTCATGGGGAGTACTGTAATAAAACTGCATTTGATAGCATAAGATAGTATCTATACTCTGCTTGTTTTGGAAAAGTATAATATAGAACCAATGCAAAAAGTGTGCTGAGGAACCTATGTTTCTGGTTTATGAATTTACAGGATGAATTGGAAATTACCTCCAGAGCTTTAGGGCAAAAGGGAGGCTATTCTGGAACAGTTATTTTATTTAAAAACAAAGTGACTGGGGAACTTATTGCAGAAGGTCGCCATTCATTGTATGGTAAAATTCCCAGCAAAATCTGATGCTGCTACCTGATGAATGAGTATCAAAACCTGTGATAGAAATGTATTCCTCATGGCATGCATTTTGTACATTGGATAAAGTTTGTTGCTACTGGACACTAATTGGACGATGCATCATTAAGCATCAAATGTTACTATGAATGACAGTTGATGCAAAGCACACATTTTTCTTCTCAATGTGCTTTGTTTGTTTCAGTTGAACATTAGAAAGTGATTCTTCTTTAATATTCTTTTGAAGTTTTTGACTTTCTATCATTCAAACTTCAAATCTTACAAGAGGAATAAGAGGATAAGTGGAAAAAAAAAATAAGGCGCTAGCCCTTGTTTTAACCATAGATAAGGAGGGGATTGCATACTTGCAGCCTTTAACTTGACTGAAGAAATGGGGGATAAAATGTTGATGCACCTCCTGATGTAACACCAACACCTTAACGCCTTATGGACAATCTCATGGCATCACTTACGCAACGCCTTAACAACCATATGGGGACTTATCTCATAGAAATCCCATGTGGCATTCCTCCTGATGTAACACCAATAACGATGTTCACCTTTTATTATGTCAAAAGTTTTAGCATCAAAATGCTCCAAAAGGATGGCAGCCCTCGTATACCTCCACATTATCTTCCCTTGAGATTTTTAGGAGAAGCATATTATGTTTGAAGAAATCCACGATATTGAGAGGTGTTACCATTTACCAAAGATCTGAAAATGAACCTTTGATGCAAGAATCTGAGATGAAGTTACCCAAAGGCATTCTAGACTTTCTAGTGATTATTAGAGATTCTTCCTCACCAATTCAAGGACCTGATGTGAAAGACTTTCTGCAAATTTTCCTAACAGAGGTTCAAATGTCGAACTGGAAGTTTCCACCCTAGTGTCTAAACATGAATTCCTCTTGGCAGACTGCATCAAATCAGCAAGAGCATTAACTTTCTCTTTTATTGATGGTAGGAGACCCACTGCTTGATCATATAAGTAAGCCCTACAGCCAAACGATGCATCTTCTCTAGAGACAAAGATCCCCAACTCATCAAATAACTGAAGTGCAGAGTCTGCTGCAGCATCTAACCTAAGTAATGCTTCCTTGCACTCGGTGATTTTTTCCTGTATCTCACTTCTTTCTATGATAACTCCCTCCTTTTGTTTTCCTTTTATACCTTCCATGTTCGAAAGGTTATCTGATGTAAGGCAATTAGTTATTTCACTTTGCTGGGAAGTGTCGTTGGTGCTCACCAAGCTTCCTGTCGAGTCCTTTGCATCCTGCGATAGATATTTAAAGTAAGCACATGTTAGCACATTGGTTATGCATATAAGATGGTTAAATAAAAGTACCCAATTGCAAATATGCCTTTCATCAACTGCTTTACAAAACCCATAATCAAGTAAAGAAAGTAAAAAAAAAAAAAAAAAAGATCCATTAATAGTTGGATTAAGTCCATAATCAATGACCAAAATGTTTCAAATATGACCTTTGAATTCGCTTTGCCCTCTAACTTGAAATCTTTTGTTGATTATCAACTTATTTCCTTTAAAAAAATGCCCGGAGGCGTGTTTTAGACTTTTTAAGTCTCGGAGACAAGATGCACCACCAACTTATTTAGTTGGAAGGAATATCAAGTTACATGCATCACATGACTGATGTTCTGCTAACACCCAACTTGGTGGACCATGATGGATGGCTCCATCTGTGTTATGGTTCAGGGATGTATGTACTCCCTGAATTGCAAGTAGGTGCATCAAAAAGTTCTTGCAGCCTGTAAGATGATCAAAATGCATAACAAAGTGTCTCGGGTAACTTCTCCTAACTGATGGTTTTCTTTCATTAAGCTAAAGCAGTACAGACACAGTAAGATAATTCAGTGTCTACACCTAAACCATCTTTGATAATGAGTCAACAACAAAGTTCTTATCTTGTAATTTTTTAATGAACAATGTGTACATAAAACATCATATAGTTCATATGCTTATGCAACTATATACATGTATAAGGAGAGAAGAACAAATCCTAATTGGGGAGGAAAATTATCTAAACAATGACATAGGGCACTACCATGGAATTTAAGCTCCCTAGGGGTCATCACTTGTCGCACCGGCAGCATGGAAGGTCTTTCAGAGCAATACAATCACAGACCTCCTTTTGTAAGATCTACTGCTAACAATCTATAGTATAATACATACCAAGGAGAGAGAGAAAGAGAGAGAGACCATAGGTTCAGAAATACATTGTCTGATGAAATAGCTTTTCTAATGCCTGGGGTCTAGATTTTATTTATCAATTAAATTACCTAACCATAGCCACGATTATCAATTTGACCAATCAAACAATCCAAAAGGAACTAATTGACGCCAACAACACCAAAGAAGAAGTGTAGAACCACAAAATTTCTTTCGGTACCTAGTGTAAAACGAACCAGATAACTGGCATGTAATATTATGCTAACACCTAATATTTCTCCTTTATGAAAGGATTTTTGGCACTGTAAATCCCAAACCACATAGTGGGGATATCTGTAAATTTTAACAGGAACGGCACTGTGTAGTGGTACACACAGTTCCTATTTATTTTCTGTTAACAGATCATTAGATCCTTCATAATTACAGTATACAAAGCTATTTTGCCCGGATATGGCAAGGGCACGGCTGGATACAGCATTAGATACAAAATTTATACTAAATGCTGAGGTGCCCGACAACCCTTGTACGGGTATCCAGGTATGGTTGATACAAAGTATAAAGTTTTAAGATTCCAAATCCACTTGATTCAAATTAAAAATCTTTGAACAATGCTAACATGCCTGAACCGTATAACACAAGGTCTGGGTTTGCATTCTGAGTCCTAAATATATAGGGTCAAGATTGCGCTTACATGTTATGAGACAATTAATGCCCAAACAGATAATGTAAATGCATATATAACATGCATACATATATGTATTAGAACATGACAAAGATAGCCCCAACATTTTATATATGCTTCCCATGGTTAGCTGTAATAACTTCTTATAAGATGTCTAAAAATGTTGATATAATAAGATATTTTGAGAAAAGAGAACAACAATATTAGCAGGTTTGTTGTTAAATTAGTTATTGGGTCAGACCTGATAAGCCCAATTTTCTCAAAGCATCAGTTCTACATCCCCATAGTCTTGACAGGAAAGGGCCTGTATGTTTTCTTATCAGCTCAGACACAGATCCAACCCATTAACAGGCCTAATAATAGTCAGGTATAGCACTAAACCTAAAATTCAGAGTCAGGGAAAAATAGCCGTGGAAGCAGGGGAGATGAGACTAAAACATGAGTAGGGAAAAATAGCCGTGGTAACAAGGGAGATTAGACTAAAACATGGGGATGTAATGGATTACTAACCTTCACTGCTATCGATAAATTGCAAAAATGCTGTCTGAAGAGAGAGAGAGAGAGAGAGAGACTAAACCACGAGGATACAATGGGTTACTAACCTTCACTGCTGTTGATAAATTGCAATAGTGCTGGCTGTAGAGGTCATCTTGACACATGCCATTTTCCTCTTTTTCTGCCTTGCTCATAGATGTCTGAAACATGCTTTCTCCCGCACATGATTTAAGCTGTACTTCACTAGGAGCTAGTTCATAATATGTTTTTGCATTGAGTCTGCGTTGGTCTTCATTCTTGCACTCAGTGTCAACAGAACTTGATGCCTGTACACTTGAAGTGTGACCACGGCCATCACTCACAACCTGGTTACCAGAACAGTAAGGCTCCACGGAGAGGTGGTCCATTATAGTTGGATCACCTGATGTGGCCCCCATGCTGTCAATGTTGGATAGTCCCTCCATAGCAGAGTCACGTGCTGCATTAGAACAGGCAGTTGTTCTTCATCATCAACAGCCACCATAGTAAATGTATTACAATCAGACCACAAATGTTTCATGTTAATCAGTTAGCAAAAGATATAGGCATAGAAGAAAACGCATCCTAACATCTGAAGAGGTGCATCATACGTGGGACCTACAGAACAAACAATTCATAGTTGAAGATGTTACTAACCAGATCCTCTAGTGGTGAATAGCTGACTTCTCTTAGAGCTTACCATGATCCACCAAAAGCATAGTGTTTTATCATTATGGTTTTGTTTTTAAATCTTCTCTTCATAGCTATTGAATTAAAACAAAAGATGGTAACCATATTCTTGCAAATAGGATTGGAGATGTACTCTTTTCACATGGGTTATTTGGTAATTACACCATCTTACATGGTATCAAGGTTCAAAGTATCAACACGATACGCCCAATATGGGGTGTATCGCATCGTATCTTTTTTTTTGGAAAAGGTAAGGTATCGCATCGTATCATATCTTTGGGCCCCGATACACCTGTGTTTTTACAAAATCCTTTTTATATTAAATTTTATACACACACACACTTACTTAAAACTAAAAGTTGAAAAAGAAAAAACTAAATAAAAGGTGTATCAGTTAAAGTACCGATACACAGGTGTATTGATACTTTGAACCATGCTTGGTATATGAATGCAATGGTGAGAATGCATCTCTATTCTACTTGGAGAGTAGGATTAGCATCCCCCCTAAATCTTACATGTCCTACATACTAAACTTTTCATTTATCTTTTTAGCCCATATGTTCAGGTACCATTGCTTGGTAAATTTTGGGCTGGCAAGTGCGAGAACAGAGAGCATAGATTCATCTCTGAGAGCAGCTACTTAATGCAAAAGATTCTGTAGGTTAGGTTCATATCCAGTCCACCTCTCCATAAATGTCTATGGAAAAGTATATACTATTAACATTACTTACCTGCAAAACTAAAATATCGTTTTTGTTATTAAAGATTAATTAACATTTTATATGAAAAATGACATTAGCTATTTGCTTATGTCAAATAAGCTTGGAGATAAAGAGGAAATGTTACTTAAAAGTGTCCTCAGGAATATGTGCAGTGTCTGACACGCATTGTCCATTTAGGAGAGTTCATGCAACACTGACCGGAACCAGAATTGGTTAATGGCCCTTTTCTACTCATATGATGATGCAAGTTTACATAGGTGTTTTAGACGAATGAAAAGGCGCGCATGTACTGCTATCACATATAGTGCATAGGTACATAGAAATTTATGTTTCTACTGACAAAAAAATGTTTCAGCATCTAGTTATAGTCTTACAGATGCATATTATTATTTTCAAGTTAACTACTGTAATACCCCTGTCTAAGCGTTTTTATGGAAGCAAGCCACTGACTGTGCCTCGGATATTTGCACAGAACAAATCCAGGAGGGCTAGTGTAAGGTGACAACATCCCTGGCTGCCTGGATCACAAAACTGTAAGCTCAAATTTTGGAAGAGATCTCCTTTTGCTGGACAAATGTAGTGGTTTCCATGGTGCACAAGTTTTCAGCATCCTCAATCCTACCATGAATATGCTTCATGCGATTAATGTGCTAGTCCATCTAATGGGCTTGCCCATGTTGACATGTAGGATCTTGTCTGACAACCCTAAATACATCATTCCTAAGTTGCATATGGCAAGTTAGCAACATGCCATTGCCAATATACTGAAATCATTTATGCAGTATAAAGAAACTAAATGGATTGTTTTGTAGTAATAGAAAAACTAAATGGGTGAAATGACTAAGGAGGAAGCTTTAAGCTTACACAATATTTGACTGGAGATAGGCATTATCACTTCCTTGAAATCTCTTTCTTCTGGAGATTCAAGCATATCAAGACAGACAGTATGAATGGTGAGCCAGCGATTGTCCAAGTGTCTGAAGCATATGCAAGATACAGGTTATAGTCTTAGAACAACTTCCATTAACTAGATAGCTTCACTATGTAAAGTTGTTAATAGTCATAGTGTCACACCTTGGAATTTCTTGAGGCACTGAAGAACTTGAACTAGCTTCTATACCAAATGAATCCTTGGGCGTGAGATCACTGCCTCCCAAATCATTTTTACATGGTGGGTGAACCTTAGGACACATCGGAGTAGATGTGCCACCATTACCAGCTACTGAGGATGAGATTGATTCTGGTTCTGCTTTCTGATAGTAATGACAGGGCATCCAAAGAGTTGGTACATAATTAGATTATATATGATGAAGATCTTTAGTCTTCTGATGTATGTTGTGTAATGAAGATCTTAGATATTTCAACAATCCTAAGAAATTTTAGACAACTTCAAGGAAGTGAGATATTCCTCTTTGCAACAAAGGAATTTGTATATTTCCTTGGGTCAAAATCAAGGACATAAATTGGCAATATCATGGAGATTATGAAGAACAATATGTTATTTTAGGAATAATTTTACCATTTCCCTATACCTGGTAATGGTGCATTTTGGCTTGTGCCCACTTTGGAAGTCTTGAAATGCTGAATTTAAATGGTGAAATTTCCAAGCCCCCTTCTTGGACCATTCTTTGATCATCTTGGCTGAAATCCAGCATGGAGATTTCTTTAGAATTGATATTGCATGGATGAAGAACCTCTTCATGTGATACACATTCAACTGAAGGTAACATTTGAACCATGTCTATAGAAGAACCAGAATGTTCCTTCATTCTTTGAAGCATTCTTGATGACAAAGGAGCAGGTAGTTTCCAAATGAAAATGCAGCCATCACCACCTACCTGGAATAAAGGATCACCTCAATGCATAATAACATAACCAACTTTAAGAACACATCGAAGCATGTAGGATGCAACTCAGGCCAGGTTGGGTTGGGAATTTGTTAAACTTTCAATGGACCCAAACCCTAACCTGAGCCCAATGTAGCTGAAATTCTTCAAGTCAAGCAACATACTTGCAGCCCTAGAAGCATGTAATACAAGGTAGTATGACAAGTCTATTTATACCTAAGAAACATATTATATTAATAGACTTGTCATACTACCTTGTGTATTAATTCTTCAAGTCAGGCAACCTTCTTTTTCTTTTGCCTATTTATCTGCAATTCAGCACGCACCATATAACATATCCTTAGTAATATAGAATTAATTGTACAATTCATGTAGGCATACTGCTGTTGCAGTTCACAGTAGGTTCAATTTTTCCTTCTTTTTTTTTTTTTTTGATGAATCACTGTAAATTTTATTAAATAGAAACCGAAATGGTACAAACACCCTAAGAGGAGGCACGAGGTGTTACCTCCCCTCGAGGATGGATCAATTCCAACTCTTTTTTCCAGATTACAGTTACAAAGTAGCCCAAAACAAAGAATCCTTTGAAGCCCCTCGTTTAGCTAGAGAGTCTGTCATAGTATTGGCTGATCTGCTAACCCACTGAAAATTAATCAACATGGTTCTTGTGAGCCATTTGACTTTTTTGATGATGTCCCTACCAAACAACAGTATTCGGGTCCGACAACCATCCCACTATCACCTTAGAGTCTCCCTCAACTATCAAATTAGTCACTCCAAGTCGGTTGGCAATCTGTAGTCCTTGTACCGCAGCTGGTAGTTCAGCCCTTGTTGAATCTCCAACGCCCACTGGTCCTGAGAATAAGGAGAGAATGTTACTATCCTTATTCCTCAAGATCCCTCCTATACCTGAAGGTCCTGGGTTGCCTTGACTGCTCCCATCAAAATTCAACTTTACAACCCCTTCCGAAGGTGGAATCCACCTTACTTGAGGTTTATTCTCCTTGGATGAAGTGGAGGCCACTGCTGCCCAACTCCTTCGAAGATCATCACTAGAGTAATCCACAAAGAGATCAGTAGTTTTTAACCAAAGGATTACCCTTGTCAATATACACTCCTTTATTTCAACAATGCTTCTCTCCTCCTAGAAAATTCTAGCATTTCTTTCCTCCCAAATGGTCCATAAGAGAGTTGCCCTAATACATTTCCACATTAACTTCCCTCTCTTGGTTGGCCATCCAAAAGTAGATGGGTCGAAGAGCAGATTTAATTCAGATGGCAAGTTCCACCTGCACCCAAATAGCATAAAAACCCAATTCCACATCTCTTCAGTAAAGGAGCAAGAGATCAATAGGTGAAAACAGTCCTCGTTCTGATAAGATGCACCAGTTGGGGGACAAGCAAAAATAGGGTCTCTTCTTTTGCAGGTTATCCACAGTATTAATTTTACCATAATAAACTTCCCAACAAAACCCAACAATTTTAGGTGGAATAAACCTTGACCAAACTTCTTTAACTGGGAACACCAAAGGGGAAGGAGTAGAACAAAGGAACTTAAAGAAAGAAGAACAAGAGAATGAGCTACTTGAAGACAAAGACCAAATTCTTCTATTTGGTTTAAGAGGGTCCAGACAAACAACATCTAGTAGTAAGAAACTAGAGACAGGCAAATTCCTCATCCCTCAAACCTTTGCAAAACCCAAAATCCCAATTAAGAGACAACGGGAGAATGGGGAAGTAGAAAAGGGGGAGGGGTAGAGATCTTTTAGGGGTTGGTTACCCACCCAGACATCTTCCTAAAAAAAGCACGGAATTACCATTGCAAACATCACACCTTACAAGCTTGAGGAATTTTGGGAGGATGCCTAAAATTGCCTTCCAAGGTGTTGTGGGTGAGGCCCATCAAGATATCCCAACATCCCAACTAGATTCAAAACAGCCATTGGATACTAGCCACCACCTCGTGCCACAATCTCTCTCTTTCCAAAGCCCACCTCCATAGCCACATGCCCAAAAGAGCTTCATTCCTATTAACTAGGTTCCCTAACCCTAAGCCCCCATGTTCCTTACTTCGACTCACCACCTCCAAACTAATCAAATAAGTATATGGGTAGGTTGGCAAGTGTGGCCCTAATCAAAGTTATTCTACCCCCTAAAGAGATATAGTTCTTTTTCCATGCCGCCAACCTTTTTTCAATGTCCAAGTTAAAAAGAACATTTAACTTATCCATGCATCTGCAATGTGCTTTTGGTCTTGAGGATTTTCAAGGATATTTTATAAATTATAAGTTCCAAAATAATATAATTTATAAATACAATAAGTGAATCATTTACTCCTAAAGGCTCCATCCGTTTGCAGTACAAATGAAATTACATTGATATAAATACATGGGAATACAAATGGGTTCAGTGTTCAATGTAAATTTTGGTTTACTATCGCTCCAGGTTTGATTTTATTTTGTTTTTTTATGAGTAAAAGAAAAAATTATATTAAAGGGAAAACAAAAAAGGAATAGAACCGAATCAGGTGTTAAGATAACACCCCACAACCCCCCCCCCCGAAGACCTCCAACCATTCTAAAACAAACAAACATACAAAAGACAAGCTCAATAGATGACACTTATACTTCATTCGCACGATATGGCAGTGGAGCACAATTACTATTCAATCTCCCCAAACTCTTCACAGCTTCCTTCCTCATCCCAATTTTCTCCTTCAAGAGCATCTGCCACTCTCCTCGCATTTTCTTCTCTCCTCTTCCTTTCAAAGGCTTCCAAAGCCTTTATTTTGTTTGTGGACGTTTGACTGTATTTTGTTTGTTCTTAGTAGGATGTAAATAAAATGATGCGGTCCCTACTTTATATGAGAGGAAATTGAGGTACTAAAAAGGTGGTGCAAATTTTGCATCAGTTTTTGGGATGCAAAATTTGCTCTGCCAATGAGTGCAAATAAGAAAAAATTATAAATTTTACATCAGGTAAGTGTGTGAATAATAATCACAAACAAGCATATATACAAATCTGAACCAAGTGCAAATTTTGTATCAAGTTCATATTTACACTGTAAACAAAGACATGGTCTAGATCGTGGACATTCTAGTAGGGCTAAGAGATATTTGCTCCTAAGGCACTCAATTTCTGGACATTTGGACCTTTGAAAGTCCAGAACTTGGACATTCTGTTGGAGCTGAAAGATAGATCATCTAAATGGAATAAGTAATCAGTCTTTTTTCTTCATTTTGGAAAATTTAATAGTGCAAAGAGACAACAGCCAATGTCAGCTTTCATTTTCTTTAGAAGAAGAAAGAAAGAAAGAAAAGTAAAGAAAGGCCCTTGACATGTATCAACCAATAAAAACACCAATTGGAATTTATCATAATTTTGCAGCATCACCATGATACATGGCATGGCTGTTATTATCCGGGAATCAATAAGTTTTTGGCATGTCAAGTACCTCCACAAATCATGGCACAGGGGTACAGAAATAAATAATTTAGAAGCATGGGAAAATAAGAAAATAAAAATGGTAGCTCCCCTCTTGGATGTTCTTTCTTATGATACCTTTTTTACGAGTGTTAAGTCCAACTTTCTTGCTGGGAACATCATCAACATTCTACAATAAGTGCCATGCAAGTGTGAAGTATCAGCACAGTTTCCAAGTGTTGTCAGAACGATACACCCTTTAGCTTTAAGGCATCTTTTAACGCTGTTATGAAGGTTATCTTATAACTAGGTCTACTAAACTTTATAAAATCATTTGAACAATGCAAATCTTTTTCTTCAACCAAATGTGTAATATTAGCATATCATACTTGTAATGACTATTATCTTATATTAAAAACTACTACCTTGCTGAATGAATAACTAGTGGGGCCTTCAAACTATTAAAGTTGCACTAAATAGAAGCAAACATTGAATTTTCAAAAATACTATATAAAAGTTAAGCAAAGTAAAAGGACTCACTGAAATAATATGCTTGAAGTCAGGCAAGAAAATAACACCAGTTATAACTTCACCATGCCCTACTGCTTTTGCTACTAACTCTCCATGTGTAATGTCATAAATGCAAATAGATTTATTTGAGTATGAGCAAACCATGTAGCTGCTGCTTGGATCTATGGTAACCTGTAAAAGGGATTTAATTTAGGCATAAGATCATGAATAATGAAGGCGTTGACAAAGTGCCTCAATGACCATTTAAGTATCTAACCTTTATTGGTTCTCCGAAGTTCTCTTCGTGCTTAAACATTTTAATAAGCCTTCCAGCAGCAATATTGAATGTTTTTATCTTCTTGTCCTGCAAATAGAAACTTACCATGAGATCAACTATTAAGCATTATGTTACAGTCCTAAAATGTTGAAGTGCTCAGCTTGACAAGTTCCATCAATCTTAAGGCTTTTGGCATATTGATCAAGCACACAACATTTGGTATAGAGCCTACCACCACGTCTCAAGTTCGAATCATGAGAGTGCAACCCAGAGTAGATTGAAAGCCATCACGAAAAAGGCTACCTAGAGTAGAATGAAAGCCATCACAGAAAGGGCTACCTGGAGAAGAGTGAAAGCAGCCTCCAAAGTGTGATCTGTCGTGAAGAGGGCTACCTACCACTAGAGTGAGAGCTACCAAGACATCAGTTGTAGAAGCATGGTGGTATGTTATGGTCCTAAAATGTTAAAGCGCTCAGCTTGGTGTGTTCCATCAGTCTTAAGGCTTTTGGCATATTGGTAAAGCACATAATACATTGCCAAGAAAGGCAATCTTCCAAATGGTTTGGCATTGATGTAGGAATACCCAAAATAGCACTGTTAGAAATACTTGAGAATAAATTCACACTTAAGGACTAGTTGCAACAATAAATAGCTATGAACTATAAGTGGTACTTTATCTTTCCTTAGATATGAAATAATAATTCCAAAAGTAATGTAAAAGCTATGAGCAAGTATTTCAAGGTGCCAAGGTGAGGCTAGGTGACAAGGGGCACCTTGTCAATGGATTTTGAAATAAAAACAACGGAAAAGTACGGACAGGCCCATTGCAGATTTCTGAATTCCACTGCAGACCTACAAAAATTCAAAATGTCAAATACCCCCACTCTACACATCAATGCCCGCCCGTGAATTGGCATCAATTCCGAGCTGGCACCTACCCCAACTGTACTTTGGGCCTAAGAATTCTGACCCTGGGCTGAACCGTCATTCTCCCTAAAAACAATGAATCCAAGTATAACTCCCTAGGTTCCATAGTAACCAACTAGTAGTTATCTCTTGCCAAAAAACAACTAGTAGTTATCTATAATCTTCATAAAAAGGTAGAAACTTCATATTAAAAAAATAGAAAATCAACATATTCATAAGAAAAAAAAAAGAAAAAAATTCAGTAAATATAGGGGCTTAGCCCTTGTTTTTTTCCTAGGAAAAGAAGAAAAGGATTGTTGTTGTTGTTGATGATGATGATGATGATGAATGTGCTGATTGGACAAAATTTTAGGTTCTTCCCTGCTTATCGTTTCAGTTTTGAAATTTTTGAGGGTTCAATACAAGCATATACCAACATGTGTGTTGAGCAAACCCCAACAAATAAGAAAACAATAAAGCGGAACCCACAAAATGAATAATTTAGTTTAATAATGTCTATTTTATTATTATAATCTCAAAAAAGAACCGAAAAATATTTCATAACACCATGTAAAATAGCTAGGCACTTAATCAAGGTGGTCCTCCATGGGTGCCTTGTCACCTAGGTGTCACCTTGACAATTATGGTTATAAGATGGCCAAACCCATAACTGCTACAAATGCAGCATTTAACACAGATCAGATGTCTTGTGGATCTGGATTTGTTACAAGTTTATTTCAATCCACTGCCCCCACATCATTCCATGATATTTCGTGAATGATGCATCTTAACAGCTACGAGTTTGACAAATTCATAGTCTTAGCATTCCTATAATTCACATTATCCAGGAATTGACCTGGCCAACGGTGACAGCAACCTCCACTGCAGGATCTATAGCCATATCATAAACTGTGCCATGAGATGCAATTTGATGATGACAAAGTGAAACCTTACAACCATCATCTGTTATAGCCACATCATGAAATACAAGAGACCTGTTTAAAAGAAGGTTAGTGGCAAAATGTGTTCCAACCCATAGGAAAACTGAAAGAAATTTGGTTACCTAGCTTACCGATCAGCACTACAACTGAGAATCATATGACCATTGCATGCAAGTTTTACAGAAGTCACAGCAGCTGAATGGTCATCGAGACTTGCAATAACTTTAAAACCCCTGAAATAAACAGGAGATCAGATGATGACAACCTAACAAAGGACAACTCAAAAGTAGTAAAGTCAGACCTGTTGACATCGTAGAGGTTTATTATTTGATCTCTTCCTCCTGAAGCAAGTAAGTAGTAGAATTCATGATGTTCTTGTTCAGAATTAACACTATGCCTTCTTGGGAAGCTGAAGTTCAATGAGAGGATCTCTGCACTATGGGCCTCCTGCCAGAGTGTCCACGAAGCATGTTAAATAATGATTGAATAGCATGCTATCTTCACTAAAACCATTGTTAGTGCATCTAGATTCCATCATTTCTACTAGATGCATCATGTAAAAGTTAGGATCTTTTACCTGAAAGCATGTATAATCAGAAGTATGTAGGTTATAAACATGGAGGTTCCCCAAGAAATCACCAGCAGCCAAATACTTTCCATCTGAACTAACTGCCATCGACCGAATCCCCTGAGTGCCAATACCTGGCTCCATGGCATCCAGTTCAAAAACTGCAGTGCTTGCTGGTGGGGAGGAAGATTATTAACAGACCAAACATAGAAATTCAGATAGAAAATATCTGAGAAATAAGTGATGCTAGATGGAAAAGCCTAGAAAAGACAATATCTTAAGAAGTAGATAATATGTGCATGGATTGAAGAGCGACCTTGTTTCATGATGCAAACAAGTATCAATACCACAGAACTAGGATTGAAACTTGTCTTGACCCACTAACCATTCGTTTTGTTTGTCAATCAAGCAAGAGAAACAGAAAGTTGTCATAGATCATGAAGTAAATGGAAACCCACCTAGATGTATAGCACTGACTTGCTCAGTTGTTGAAGAACTACTACCAATTTGTTGGTTCATGGCAAATCTTTCCTTTCCATCATTGTTCACTGAACTGATTTGGAAAGCAAGGTCCCAAAACCTAATAGTACCATCTGTAGAGCACGTTGCAAAAGATACTCCACCAGCACAACTCCTACCAGCATATGCAAGAGTAGAATACATGCTTTCGGAAGAGAGGTTCTTAATATCCCATATGCAGGAACTATGTGATACAACCACGTCACACTTACTAACCTGAAAATTTAACAATTTTTTAAATGGATCAAATTGGAACCCACAAAATTGAATTCCATAACCAACCGCTGGTCATTTTAGAAAATCGGCAGCATGAAATCTACAGATTATGGAGAAGGAAAGAAAAATCAATCTCAAAAAGTAGAAAGAAATGTACACCACACATATTAAGATTACCTTGTTCACATCGTCTATTTCCCATATATAGAGGCTGTGATCTCCATAAACAACAACTGAAAAATGGAAAGATAAAAAATCAGTATGGGATGAAGGAATTAGATTATAATCAAGACATCTCCAACACTTAAATACTCACCAAGCTTTCTGGAAGTTGAGAATTGACAAGCTATTGCATCAGGGAGCTGAGAATCCTTCTCAGAGGACTTTGTACCACAGCCTAATTTTGATGTTTCATGATGTTTTTTGGCTTCAGAATATTGCAGAGTTCCAGCATAGTTGAGAGTACCAACTGTGAACAGTTGCACAATTCCATTGCTGCACGCACAAGCAATAAGCTCACTGGATACAGAGAGTGCAAAACTTTTCTGAACCTGAAAGGTAAGTACTTGAAACAGTGAAAATTATAACATGGAGGGTAGTGCACAGAGAAAATACAGAACAATCTCAAAAAATCCTAATTTGGTGCCAATTAAACAACTGTTAAAACTCAACTTGGGCAAATCAAAACAGTTCGTGGCCATTACCTATGTACATGATATATGTAGAAAAGAAAGTTCATTCTTTTAAATGAATGGGCTTCTTTGAAATAGGGAAAGCTTATACTGGGCTGTTTTGTAACCTTTTCACTACTGTTTTTTCTGTAATTTTCTTTAAGGAGAGGTTGCACCTCGTGCCTCTCCTTGGGATGCCTGTAAAGCTCTCATTTCTCGATTAATAAAATCATAATTCAATTATCAAAAAAAAAGTTCATTTTTTTAAATGTCTACAAAATCCCATTTTAAACTTTCTTGTATTGAAAAAGAAAATGCCATAATTAACCACATTAAATTGTTTGAACTAGAGAAGTCATAGAGGCAAAACCCCAAATGGAAAAGGTCAATCTAGGTAGTTCAATCACTAAGCCTCAAAAATCGTTCTTTTTTTGTTCTTTTTGAAAAATGGTTCAACATAGCTGAGCTATAAGTTGACTGACTGCATATACCATGTATGAATTGTGAGAAGCACCATACCTTTAAATCAATGCACTTCCTTATTGAAAATCCAGAATGTAAAAGACATAAAACACCTAGAGTTAAAGAAGAGAGAGGGATTATACTCAAGAGTCAAGGTTAGGTGTATATGTAAATAGGTTGAGCTAAATTTGAGTGTGAATCTCACCTGCATCTGTCAATGCATAAATATGACAAAATTTGGCAGACTGGTCATCTATCAAGCTATTACCAGCCCAATGGGTGAATGCAACAGAAATAAATGAATTGCCTTTCTGACAACCAAGATTAGCAGGTTTTCCACCAATTGTTAACAAGCCTTTACCAATATTTGAGCTAGACTTCATAGATGATCTTATTGTCCATAACTTCAAGTGTCTTTTCCCAACTGTTACAAAACAGTTTGCATTTTGAGAGAAGCCAATAGATGCAATGGAGGACAAAGATGAACTTGCTTTAAGCTTTGTTACCAGCCTCCCATTCCGCCAATCCCAAAGGCAAAGGTATCCATCATGAACAGATCCAACAGACACCAGATGCTTTCCTGAGAAAATAAATTTAAACAAAAAATTGGGAATCACTGATTTCCTAAGTTAATGCATTTTAACAAATCGGGGCATAGACAAGTTCTAGCTGACCATATAACTAACCATCATGTGAGAAAGCAATACATGACACCCCATGTTGATGACCCTTCAGTTCAAAAATGAAAGCCCGAGAGGAGTATTCCCACACTACCACCGCTGGTTGATTCCCTGACTGTGACAACACAATTTGGATGTTTGAATACAGAAAAGGTTTAGTTGAAAACCGTTCCCAACTCTATTTCAAATATACTGTTACAGAACTACTCAACCTTCTTTTAACTGACTGAAAATTTTAAGTTCAAAAATCAATAGGACATTATGAGTAAAAGAACTAAAGTATTATGCATGGTATTTACTGTATGTGCAAATATAATGAAGAAATGTGCTTGCATGGCACTAGATACTTCTGTTGGAAAATCTATGGAAAGAAATTGAGCAAGGGACCAAGGATTCCCCACCAATGCCTTGTAACTCTTCCAATAGTCGATGAGTTAGAAATAACAATTAACTCTTCCCCAACTCCATGTATTTTTTTGGGTAAAAGTCTTAAACCTCCCTTCACGTTTATGCTGAATACTAAGATTTCCCCTGTGGGGTGATTTCATCAGAGAAAAACCTCCTCTCCCTTAGGAATCCATCAAGATTTGGTCACATGTGACCTCATGTAGTCACATGCAGTTAAATATTTTCAGAAACCCAATATTGCCCCTTACCAGGTGTTTGCCATTTGCCTTCACAAATGATTTAAGCTCGAATCACCAAAAACTTGCCCATTCATTCAGAAAGCAATTTACCACTTTCCCATTCCATGGTTTTTTATCAGTCTGTGGCCTATTTTGAATCATTTTGATCACTGTTTGACAAACTCAAGGTATATAATTTCATGTTTGTTTTCAATTATAAACTAGTTTGACATTAGCTCAATTTCTTCGATAAATGTCTTATATTTATTGTAACAGATTATTCTCCTTAATTTGGTTGGTCCTCATCAATCTTTTGAGTTCATAGCTCCTAGTGTTATCAAATGCTTTACTTGGTCAGAAGCTCCAATGTTTGAAAGAGGTTAGGATGGAAGTTTATAGTTGATTGTCAAGCTTACATTAGCTTCTTTATATCATCTTCCACTCTTCCTTCTTACATTAACCATATCAAATTTCATGGTTGTTGGCACCTTGAACAAAACCTTGACATATCTGCTATGCTTTCTTTTCTTGCTTCCTGTTAGCAAGTGATAACATTTGTAGTACTGAAATCTCAGCAGAGAACATATTCTTATCAAAAATTTGAGAAAATGGTTACAACTGAAGAGGAAAGACAGTACTGGAAATTCATCCTAAAATATGATTGGCATCAGCTACCTTGAAAGATGGTAGCAGATGATGTGAAGAGAACCTGCCTCATGACCTGGTGGATATCAGGTTCAAACCTATAAGGATATGTAATAATGGAATACATTAGACTTTAACTCTTTCGTTAGACACAGCGGCTAATGCATCAGAAAGGAGAGGTCTTGGTCTAATTTGAAAAGAGAGGGGAGATCTTAGTATTTAGCATAAACATCAGAGGAGGTTTAAATCTTTTACCCTATTTTCTTTTCTTATCCAGGCTGTTATCTAATGAAATTGTTTCCAGTATTCATCTTGCAAGTTTTGCACTGCATCACTGGTCAAAGAGGTTTTTCTCCCTTTCAAGTGCTCTACATAAGAACAACAGATACTTCAAAATCATCCACATACGCTAGCACAACAACTTTTTTCTGTGTTTGAGTAGGCAAGCAGTCGAGGATGTCTGGTTTGTGCTTCCACATTAGACCACAACATGAAGATGCAATATAAATGTGATTGATTCATTGTGGAACTGTGAAAAATACTAGGATTAGAAAATAAATATTTGGAACTTTGGAACTTTGCAAGGTCAGTAATTAGAACACACCTCAACCAAAAACAAAATGCATAGGTAAGTGGTTGGTCTAATGAAATGAGCATGCAAAATGCACTTCATGCATAAGAAAACAACTCAAATCATGGATTAAAAGAAACAGTTGATTAATCTAGATCAATTTATTATCAACTTGATAAATAATAGATGTAGTGACAATCATGAACAAGTTTAACACCTTTTTCACTATTCTGCCAATTTAACAACTTATAAGAGTATTATTCATGCCTCCTTCCAAAGAATTGTAGCATTAGGAGAGTTTAACACATTGTATGTAGTCTGTACAACTGTTTCATACCTATGCCTTGACAAGTGCTTGCAACCCATAATTTGATGGATCTCACCTTGGAGATTTACTAGTTTTGGAAGCCAAACTGACCAGATGATCTTTTTTTTAGTAACAAGTTTTGGTATAGTATTAACCACCCAACATGCAGGTTGCTCTTTTCCTTAGATTCTGGGCTTTTTATTGTCAAGAAAATGAGTACAATGGAATGGATGTAAAAGGTCGTCCTATTAAGGTAATTTTAGCAATGGGAAGCCTCCTAAGGATCCGTGTTCCAGATTCCTGACCAGTGCACGCATATATACCATAGGTAGCAATCACAGCTTCAACTTTTCTCCTGCCCAATTGATGTTTCAGCTAATCTGAACGAGATTAAGCTTCTAATTTCCTTAGTTTTGAATATATGAGAGAGAGAGAGAGTATCAGAGTAGTCAAGTTCTACCTCACCGGCTGCAATGAAGCATCCATTCTGTGAGACAGCCACACAGCTCAAAGGTTTAGGCATTCGAGAAGTCACTGTGAGATGCCATTGTGTGCCTGACTCTACATTGTAAACCACAACAATGCATCCTGCCAAGTAAATGCAGTCTCCTCTGTGGATGTTTGAGGCCAGTGCGTTGCAATTCTTCGTTGTCAAGCCGATAATTTGTTCTAAAACCAACTGTGCATTCAACATAGCAAGAGCAAGGGGAGGAGAAAGAAGAAGAAGCTGATGAGTTTTTCCCCTTATTGTTCTTGAAATATGTTAGATGAAACTTATATCCGTAAGAAAATGAAAAATAAGATCATGTCTGATTGAACTTCTGAAAAAATGCAGCTTGAAGCCTTGATCTTAAGAAATAACTATAATGTAGAAGTAAAATTGAAGCGTTCTAGTCTTAATTTCCCGTTACTAAACCAATGTACGAAGACATGATTATTGGTGTACCTTTGTAGTTGAATCTGATCTTTTGCGTTTGCGATTTATCTTCATCTCGAACGGCAAAACCCTAGGCTAGAGAGCCAAGGGAGATTTATTCTGCAATTGAAGGCTAACCAACAGGTTGGAAGATCAGAGAGGCCTGTATAGGCAAGCAGAATATGTTAAGGCGGGTAATATGTTGAAATTTGTAAAATATTTTTATTTTTGGGTAAACAATTTGTAAAAGGAATTGCTTGTCGCGACTCGTCACTTGTTTCTGGGTGAGCCGTGAGCAGTTGAAGAATTCACATCGTCTGTCTGGTTCTGTACCCGATCGATAACCATCCATCACATTATTTAAATAAGGGGGATTCTAAAATGAAGGGAAATTGTCTACAACTCACATGAGTTTTCGTTAAACTCACCACGGCTTTTCAAAATGTCTAAAACCCACCATGTCAGCACAGAATTGTTTATGTCAGCATATATAACAATTTTCATGACCAAATTACCCTTGGATGGTGAGTTAGAGGAAAAATAGTCTTTTTAAGTTTTTAATTTTCTTTTTTTTATTTATATTTTTTATGTTTTTATAATTTATGTTTTTTTACATTTTTCTATTTTCTACAATCTATAAATTTTTTGTGTTTTTTCTATAATTTTTATTTTCTGATTTTGTTTTTCAATTTCTATAGTTTCTATAATTTGAAAATAATTTTTTATTTTGTTTGCAATTTCTATGATTTTTTATATTTTTTGTAATTTCTATGTTTTATGTATTTTATATTTGAGAATATGTTTTGGACTTTTTTTCTTTTTTTCATGTCTAAATACTGAAATGGTAATATATTAACACCCATTAATTTATTTTGTATATATTTTATATTTTTCTATGAATGCTAAAATGATAATATATTAATGTCCGTTAGTCAGTTTAACGTCATGTTAGTGACATGGTGAGTTTTAGACATTTTGAAAAGTTGTGGTGGGTTTAAGAGAAATGCTGAAAGCTTATGGTGAGTTTTAGACATTTTCCCTATAATGAAAAAACAGGGTGATGTGGTAGATTATTATTGGCATGGTACAGATGATGTGAATCCGTAGTTGAAGCATGACACAGTGTTTTTGGTCTCAAGCGATACATGATATGATAAATTTCTTAAATCACCCTTATATTTAGCTAATTGACTAAGTATATCCTTATTATTTAACTATTGTCTAAAACTACCCTTACAGTTTCAAGAAATTACCATTATAGTTAAAAATCAACGAAATGGCTGAAATGTCAGTATTACCTTTCCGTTAAATCTCTTTAAAATCAATTCTCTCTCCTCTCTATCACTTTCTCCCTCGCTCTTTACCTCCTTCCCACGCAGTGGGATGTCAAGGAAGCCATCGTCACCATCGATGACGGAGATCATCTTGTCGATGAAAATAGCTGAGATGGCAGAGCTTCCACCAATTGTTACTATTACATAATCTCCCTCTCTAGTTATTGTGCAACCGAAGCATCCGGAGCCGCAAGTGGCTATCCATACAGATCTTCACATAAGGACTCTCGTTGGCTTGGGCCTTCACAATTCGAATGAAGACTAGCAAATCTACCTACGATGACCCTCGGTGTGCATTCCCGGTTGGGTCTCTCGAATACCTATGATGACCCTCTTTCTCTCACCGTTTATACGTTGAAAGTTGATTCATCTTAAAAGGCAATTTGTCTTTGAAAGTCACCCCTTTCTCTCTTCTCAATTATGGGTTCCTTTGTTTTGTAATCTCTCTCCCTCTCTCTCTATATATATATTCTAGGGAATCCATAAATCCAGACAAAAAAGCATAAGCCCCCCCTCTCTCTTACTCACTCACTCTCCCTCTCTCTCCATCACTTGTTCTCTCTCCACCCGCCCTACTTAGCAGCCTTAGCACCGAGTCCCACCGCACTGCCGTAGATGCTTTGTCTCTATTGCGTTAGCGGAAGCCTTCATCAATTGCTTTAAGGACAGGAAAAAAAAAAAGGAGACAGGTTTGGTTGTCCAATAGGTATTGTAGAAGCGAGAGAAGGGTCAGATAATGCATAATGGAAGAAAAAGAACATGAGAATGAGAGAGATAGAGAGTGAGTGTGTGAGAGAGAGAGAGATGGGGCTTTTGGGTGTAAACTTGTAGCTACCCCAGCACATAACAACACCCACTCTCCGCCACTTGCATTTTGGGATTCACACTGGTTCACTCATGCTGCTCTTGGGACATTGTTTTCTGTCCAAACGCCGTTGCGGCCCCTGGGGATGGTGTTGGTTCCAATAAAAGGAGGAGGTGCCGAAGTGGGACAGTGCGGGTATGACCGGAACGATGCCGATGAGGTTATTCTGAGAAACATTGAAAACAAAAGGGAGGACTTGTTGAGCAAAGAGATGGCGTCGTCTAACCGATTGCCATTGAGCAAAATATAGTAGAGCCAGGCCAAAGCAGTCAAATTGGAGGGGATTGGGCGTGCGAGGTGAAGAAGAAGAATAATAAGGGAGATGGAGAAGGACTAAGGGTAAATTTGGATTTAAAAAAATTACATGTCACGTATGTATAAATTTTGCGGAATATTAACGAATCCTGTCGGTCAGGGTAGAGAATTAGACAATTGTCAAGAGTATTAGGGGTAGCATTAGACAATTGTCAATCAATAGGAGTATACTCAATTAATTAGCTAAACTATAAGGGTAGTTTGAGAAATTTACCCTAAATAATAAATAGGCCATTGTTAAAAAAATGGTTGAATAGACTGCACTCCACATTCAAATCATGCCTTACTGTTTATCATTCACAGGGAGATTTGTTTGGTTGGATGTACTTATGCTGTGTTTGGTTGCAATGCAATTTTATTTGTATTAATACAAATGCATGGGATGCAAATTCTCATTTAATTTTGTTTTGTGGTTTAATTTATTATGCTTCATGTCTTAATTTACTTCATTTTTACTGCAATCAAACAAAATAAGCTAAAGTTTAAAATATAAATAAGTTAGACTTTGCACTCAAATCATTTGTAATGCCATAATTTTGCATCACTATTTATTGGTATATATATTTTCTATTACTTGTTTAATTGTAAAAGTTAAATAAAGTTTGTAATTGGTAAACTATTTCATTCAAATGAGTGGTATATATGCCATTTAAAGTATTCATAATTAACAATTTTTTATGAAATTAAATTATAATGATTAATATGGGTCTCATCTTTTGAAATTGGTACTTTTTATAGGTATCCACATGTTTGAAATTAACATTTTTTAGAGGGTGGATAGTTTTCAAGGTAGTAGGGCGAACCTAGGTAAGAGCGGAGCACTTAATCGCCTTGTTACATGGGCAGCCACCTAGGAATTGCTTTAAAAAAGACATTATATATATATATATATATAGAGACCTGTTCATGGGTCGGGTGCCCCGATGGGCCGGCCCAGCCCAGCCCAGCCCAACCCCCGGACGGGCTTGAACAGGCATTTTGGCCCGCGGGTTTAACCTCGGGCCAAAAAGCCCGGCCCGTATAAAATTCGAGTCGGGCTCGGGCTTTGTCAAAATAGCCCGGCCCGGCCTGACCTATAGTTAAACCTAAGTAAACCCGGCTCGACCTATAGTTAAACCTAAGTAAAAACCCTATGTGATGTCCATTTGAATATATTTTTTTTATTTGAGAAGGTTGTTGATTCACTTGTAGGCCCATTGTTCATTTAAATAGGGGGGAAAATCTGAATTAAAATAGATAATGTGAAAATTTTGATTTTCTTTTATTAGGTCGGGCTTTGGGTTTTTTATCAGAGCCGGGCTCGGGCTCGGGCCTATTAATTTTCTGTTAGTGAACACTAAAAGCCCGGCCCGGCCCGGCCCGGCCCATGAACAGGTATATATATATATATATAATAGAAACACATAAGAGTATACAATTGTTTTGTATTTTTTAAATTTTAAATAATTGATAATTATTTATATTTTAGGTTCCACTATGATATGGGAAATATATGATATCTAAATAATTTTTTACCAATCAACTGGTATCATAAACGTGGTAACCATTCATGTGTCATCTATCAAAATTCATGGGTGGAATTTGATTGGTCAAAACTCTTATGATACCATATCTTTCACACATCATAGATTTTCCCTTAGGCTCCATTTGGAAGGAGTACAAATACAAATACAAAATACAAGGCTTTGCACTCTACATATTTGTATTTGTACTCCTTCCAAACGAGCCTTATATTTTATATAATGCTTTTAATAATTTTTTATAATATAAAAATAACAATAATTAATTTCAGCTATGGCAGTTCATCAAACTAATAAAACTAGCCAACTCGAGTCGAGTTTATCAGTTTTCTAGTATTTCTGATCAACTTTGGTTCAACAATTTCCCAAACTAACCAAGTTGGTTTAGTTTCATTTTGGTCATTTATAAATCGACCAAAATCAAACGACCCGAGCATAGGTATATTAATATTTTATATTTTTAATACGGGAAAATGGGAAATTCTCATACTTCTCAATCTAAAATATTTTATATCATAAATTTATTTTTTAATAACGGCACTGTATTTTTTTTTAAGCTTAAATTTAATTTTTAAGTTTAAATATTTTGAGCTAACCAACCAAACCAAAAATTGACACAAAATGAACAACCCAAGTTGAACATTTTTTAGTAGTGGTTAATCGATTTCGAATGACCAACTCCCCAACATCACAAAGACGATTTAGTTGGCCAAACAACCTACAACTAAACTGAACCAACCTGTGAACACTCCTAATTTCAACTAAATTAATAGTATAATCTTTAATAAATTATAATAGTTTAATCTCCAATAATTATTGAAAAATTATAACAAAAATACATAATTATTGAAGATATATTGATAACAAAAATACATCATATAACTAGTAAAAATAAAATAATTACAAAAATACAATAAATATTGAAAAATATACTAAATTAGCCAATAAATAATGTAGTCTCAGATAATAGTTTAATCTCCAATAATTATTGAAAAATTTTATGTTAAATAACAAAACAAAAATAAATTTATAAATAATTATTGAAAATAGATTTACCAGAAAAAAATAATAAATAATTACTAAAAATACAATCAATATTAATTTGAGTATATATAAATATATAATATTTTAAAATTATTAGTAATAAATATTATTTTTTCTAAAAGGTATTTTCTATAATTATTAATTGACATAAGCAAAATTAGTTATTTACAATATTATTTAGTTATTTAAATAATAACGTTATTTAAATTTTAAAATATTAATTATTTATTAAATTTAATAATACACACAATTATAATTCATACTATTATTA